TTATGTCAGTATCACAAGAAACTGGTGTTTATTATTATTATGTTTCCTTTTCGCAGCGTTGTAGCACTTTATTCATTTGGTTGACCACATGTCATAATTGGGTCCCTGTTACATTTTTTTTTCAAGATATGGAAAGATAATCTCATATTTGTGATGATCATGGTTTATAGTATGAAAACGGTATTCATCATTTATCTTTATAGCTTGACAATTGCAAGAATTAACAAGAATAATTGCCTTTAATGCTGCATTTAGATTTCTGAATATAAATGCTTTTATCATTTGTAAGACTAAGGCAGATAACAATCTTATGTGTGAGTGTGAGTGTGTGTGTGTGTGTGTGTGTGTGTGTGTGTGTGTGTGTGTGTGTGTGCGTGTGCGTGTGCGTGTGCGTGTGTGTGTATGTGTGTGTGTGTGTGTGAAAATATATATATATGATTTTGAATAAAAGCACTTCAAAGGAAAATTGAATGGTGTAAAGAAGACTTGTATCTGTATCTTGTATCATTCTGTGAACAGATTATATTACTAGGCGATTCCTGGGGGCTTTGTTCACTTTTTCTTTAACTTTCTTTTACTTTTGCTGTTCCTGTAGTGAATTATGTTATTAACTTATCAATATTATTATATTTTTCACTATTATCATTATCATTATTATTATTGTCATTATCACCATCATAAGTAACAGCGTTTTAATAGTAATATTGATAATGATAATAATAAAAATAATAAAAATGACAGTGCCAAAGATAGTTACAATAATAATATTCATTGTTATTATTATCATTTGTATTTTTGTTATTAATGTTCTTATATCATATTGTATGGAAATGATATGCCAGCCAATGTTTGTTTTGATAGTACAAGAGTGTCATAGTCGATCAGAATAGATTTCAGGAATATTAAAACCAACAGCCACATTTTCCAATTATATTATTTCCAGGTATATTGCAAACCCAATTTCAAAATAATACTTTAAGAAAGAGATGAACCAAAAAAGCAAGACAAAAAAATAAAAATAAAAAATAAAAAATAATGATAAAAAAATTAAAGAATAATAATAATAAAAAATAAAAATATCTCTTCGGATGTTCCAAGATATGAAGATGTTTAGTAAAAAAAAAAAAAAAAAAAAAAAAATGATAGGCATACCCTTTTCTCTTACAAACTTAACCCTTTTAAGGCAGTTGGCATAATATTTCGTCCTTCAAGGGAGGTCGCTCTGGACACACTTTACAGGGTTAAGACGTTTACTGATAAATATGAAGAAAAATACACAAAGATACTTTATGGGGTCTGGGATGATGAAGGCACAGGCGTTTGGGTTACCGTTCGAGGATTGGTGGTAGTTAACATGGTAGTTGTTGAGGTTGTAGTTGAGGTAGATGTAGAGGTGGAGGTTGTGGTTGTAGTTGTAGTAGAAGTGGTGGAGGTTGAGGTTGTGGTAGAAGTCGTAGAGGTTGAAGTTGTGGTAGAAGTTGTAGTAGAGGTTGAAGTTGTGGTAGAAGTAGTAGAGGTTGAAGTTGTGGTAGAAGTTGTAGTAGAGGTTGAAGTTGTGGTAGAAGTTGTAGTAGAGGTTGAAGTTGTGTTAGAAGTTGAAGTTGTAGTAGAGTTGAAGTTGTGGTAGAAGTTGTAGTAGAGGTTGAAGTTGTAGTAGAGTTGAAGTTGTGGTTAGAAGTAGAAGTTGTGTAGAAGTAGAGGTTGAAGTTGTAGTAGAGTTGAAGTTGTGGTAGAAGTAGAAGTTGTGGTAGAAGTTGAAGTGGTAGAAGTTGAAGTTGTGTAGAAGTAGAGGTTGAAGTTGTAGTAGAGGTTGAAGTTGTGTAGAAGTTGAAGTTGTGGTAGAAGTTGAAGTTGTAGTAGAGGTTGAAGTTGTAGTAGAAGTAGAAGTTGTGGTAGAAGTTGAAGTTGTGGTTAGAAGTAGAAGTTGTGTAGAAGTTGAAGTTGTGGTAGAAGTAGAGTTGAAGTTGTGGTTAGAAGTAGAAGTTGTGTAGAAGTTGAAGTTGTAGTAGAGGTTGAAGTGTGGTAGAAGTTGAAGTGGTAGAAGTTGAAGTGGAAGTTGTGGTAGAAGTAGAGTTGAAGTTGTGGTAGAAGTAGAAGTTGTGGTAGAAGTAGAAGTTGTGGTAGAAGTAGAAGTTGTGGTAGAAGTAGAAGTTGTGGTAGAAGTAGAAGTTGTGGTAGAAGTAGAAGTTGTGTAGAAGTTGAAGTTGTAGTAGAAGTAGAAGTTGTGGTAGAAGTTGAAGTTGTGTAGAAGTTGTAGTAGAGGTTGAAGTGTGGTAGAAGTAGAAGTTGTGGTAGAAGTAGAAGTTGTGGTAGAAGTAGAGGTTGAAGTTGTGTTAGAAGTTGAAGTTGTGGTTAGAAGTAGAAGTTGTGTAGAAGTAGAGGTTGAAGTTGTGGTAGAAGTAGTAGAGGTTGAAGTGTGGTAGAAGTTGTAGTAGAGTTGAAGTTGTGGTTAGAAGTAGAAGTTGTGTAGAAGTTGAAGTTGTAGTAGAAGTAGAAGTTGTGGTAGAAGTCGTAGAGGTTGAAGTTGTAGTAGAGGTTGAAGTTGTGGTAGAAGTTGAAGTGGAAGTTGTGGTAGAAGTTGAAGTGGTAGAAGTTGAAGTTGTAGTAGAGGTGAAGTTGTGGTAGAAGTTGAAGTTGTGTAGAAGTTGAAGTTGTGGTAGAAGTTGTAGTAGAGGTTGAAGTTGTAGTAGAAGTGGTGGAGGTTGAAGTTGTGGTAGAAGTAGAGGTTGAAGTTGTGGTAGAAGTTGTAGTAGAGGTTGAAGTTGTGGTAGAAGTTGTAGTAGAGGTTGAAGTTGTGGTAGAAGTTGTAGTAGAGGTTGAAGTTGTGGTAGAAGTTGAAGTTGTGGTAGAAGTTGTAGTAGAGGTTGAAGTTGTGGTAGAAGTTGTAGTAGAGGTTGAAGTTGTGGTAGAAGTTGAAGTTGTAGTAGAGGTTGAAGTTGTGGTAGAAGTAGAAGTTGTGGTAGAAGTAGAAGTTGAAGTTGTGGTAGAAGTTGTAGTAGAGGTTGAAGTTGTGGTAGAAGTTGAAGTTGTGGTAGAAGTTGAAGTGGTAGAAGTTGTAGTAGAGGTTGAAGTTGTGGTAGAAGTTGAAGTTGTGGTAGAAGTAGTAGAGGTTGAAGTTGTGGTAGAAGTTGAAGTTGTAGTAGAGGTTGAAGTTGTGGTAGAAGTTGAAGTGGTAGAAGTTGAAGTTGTGGTAGAAGTAGAAGTAGAAGTTGTGGTAGAAGTAGAGGTTGAAGTTGTGGTAGAAGTAGAAGTTGTGGTAGAAGTAGAAGTTGTGGTAGAAGTAGAGGTTGAAGTTGTAGTAGAAGTAGAAGTTGTGGTAGAAGTAGAAGTTGTGGTAGAAGTAGAGGTTGAAGTTGTAGTAGAAGTAGAAGTTGTGGTAGAAGTTGAAGTGGAAGTTGTGGTAGAAGTTGAAGTCGTAGTAGAAGTTGAAGTTGTAGTAGAGGTTGAGCTTGTGGTAGTAGACGAGGTGGAAGTAGACGTGGATGTCGAGGTGGAAGTAATCGTAGTCGTCGCCATATCTGCAATCACAAGAACGCCTGGTAACTCTTAACGTGACATTAGGTAATTAGACGATAAAAATGAAGTTGTCTCTCTATTCACACATTCTTCTGCCGTTTACGTTTATTTTTATATATATATATTTTTTTGTAATGGTTTGTGATTGATTGATTGGGTGTTTAAGAATATTAGCATCAGGCTGAATGGTTCATCTGCGGAGGCTTATGATCCGGAAGTGTTAAATTATCTGTGTTAAATATATTATATATAGTTATTTTGTATATGTATTGTATAATAATGATGATATTAACGATATTGATAATAGAATAATGATAATAACGATAATGATATAATATTAATAAAAACAATAATCATAATAGTAATGATATCTGTAATGATAATTAGACTTTTGTTATAACTGTAATTATCATTATTATTATTATTGTTATTATTATTGTTATTATCATTATTATCATTATTATTATCATATTCATTGTTAACATTATCATTATTAGTATATTCATTATTACCATTATCATTATTGTTCTTCTTCACAATGATAATAATAACAATTATGGGAATGATAAAAAGGTAGTTATAATAGCAACAATAGTAATAGTGATAATAATAGCAATTATAATAATAAAAGTAATAGCGATAATGAAAATAGTAATTATTATTATAACTGTTATTGGTTTTATCATTATTATTGTCATTACCATCATCATTATCATCGTCTTTATTATTACTATTATTATTATTATTATTATTATTATATTATTATTATTATCATCATCATTACTTTTACCATTATTGTTATTATTATTTAATATCATTATCATAATTATTATTGTTATTACTGTTATTATTATTGCAATTATTACTAGTAATAACGATAATGATAATAATGATAAGAATAATGATAATGATAATGATAATAGTGATAATAATAAAAGTAAACAGTTATAATAATAATGATAATAATGATAATGATAAAGATGATGATTGTAATGATAATAATAATAACAATAACAATACTTATAATAATGATGGAAATAATAATAATGATAATGATAACGATGATGGTGATAATGATGTTGATGATAGCAAAATAATAACAATAACAATAATGATAATAATAGTTATGACAGTGATGATGACAGTGATGGTGATAACGGTAGGTAATAATAATGATAATATATCATAATTATAATCATAAAGATAATGATGATAATCACGATTATGATGATAATGATAATAAGAACAGTGATAATGATATCAATAACAATAATGATAAATATTATGATATAAGTAGTAGTGTGGTAATAGTAGTCAAATTAGAGATAAGAACAATAATGATAATCTTGATAGTAATAATAATAATAATTAGTTGATAACCTGATAATAGTAATGATTATCATGATAATGGTGATGGTAACGGTTATGACTATGACAATGATTATGATAATGGTAATGATTATAAAATGAATATTATAATGGTAATGGCGAGTGTTAGAGCCTAATAATGGTGACAACCTAAGACTAATAGTAATAATAACAGTTATATTAGTAATTATTATAATAACAATGATGATCATCGGTGATAGTGATAGTATTTGTATGAATTCTAAGTGATGATTAGGAGAAAGCCTTTGTATATCTTTGTATATTTCAGTTGTTTGAAAAGTGAATTTATGTGTACTTATCCCAAGGACTTATAAAGTGTTACTATCATTCTGTTATTTGAAAAAAAAAAAAACTAACAATAATTAATAAATAAATGACTTTTTCCCTTAATTTGTTTTACTCCTGGTAATTCGAAATCTTTCAAGCAGACTATCTAATTAACTGGCTACGTCTGGTAGCTCCGCCCCTTTTTCATTCCTGTCAGTCTGCACAATTTACTATGATTTTTTTTTCTCAGTAAATTTTCTTTGAAAAGGGATCAGTACTAACAGTGATGGAAATTTAACGAGGAAGAAAAAGGTTCGGAGTTTAGCTCGATGATGGGTACATTGTAAAACTGAACCAACATATATATATATATATATATATATATATATATATATATATGTATATATATATATATATATATATATATATATGTATATATATATATATATATATATATATATATATATATATATATATATATACATATACATATATATGTACACATATGTGCATACATATATACATATATATATACATATGCATACATATATACATATATATATACATATGCATACATCTATATGCATACACATTGTTTGATAATCAATCCTAGAATCCAAGGAGTGAAGTAAAGAAATAAGCATAATTGCTTGTTTGAAAAAAAAGCAAAATGAATGTCACTGGTTTCCCCTGTTCGACATGTGTGCATTTACTCACCTGGAATGCAACATGTACAGAGATCGTCATCGCATAATAAAGGATCTGACTGGCCAGGGCAGTTATCCATTATATTTATGCAAACTCCATTTACATTGGAACACATCTCTGTGTTGCTGCAGGGCTTCTTCATGCAGCATTTGCAGTTCTTGTTCCTGCATAAAGACTCGTTAGTATTCCCAGCGCAGTCGTCCATCAGATTAATGCAGACGCCACCTTCATTGGAACACATCAGTGGTGTGTTAGAGCATTCGTGTTTTATACAGCACTTGCAGTTCTTGTTCCTGCATAAAGACTCATTGGCCTTTCCAGCGCAGTCGTCCATCAGATTAATGCATACGCCACCTTCATTGGAACACATCAGTGGTGTGTTAGAGCATTCATGTTTTATACAGCACTTGCAGTTCTTGTTCCTGCATAAAGACTCGTTAGCTTTCCCAGCGCAGTCGTCCATCAGATTAATGCAGACGCCACCTTCACTGGAACACATCAGTGGTGTGTTAGAGCATTCGTGTTTTATACAGCACTTGCAGTTCTTGTTCCTGCATAAAGACTCATTGGCCTTTCCAGCGCAGTCGTCCATCAGATTAATGCATATGCCACCTTCATTGGAACACATCTTTGGCGTGTTAGAACATTCATGTTTTATGCAGCACTTGCAGTTGCTGTTCCTACATAAAGACTCATTGGCCTGTCCAGCGCAGTCATCCATCAGATTAATGCAGACGCCACCTTCATTGGAACACATCTTTGGCGTGTTAGAGCACTCGTGCTTCATACAGCATTTGCAGTTTTGGTTTCTACACAAAGATTCATCAGTCTGGCCAGCACAGTCGTCCATTAAATTAATACACACGCCATTTTTACTGGAACACATTTTAGGGGTGTTGATGCATTCATGCTTTAAGCAACATCCACAGTTTAAATTGTTGCACAGTGATTCATTCATTTTCCCTGCACACGGTAACTGGAGATTAAGACAAAATCCTCCTTCATTGCTGCACTTGGGCGGCGTTTTAACACATTCATGGAGTTGCCGTAGGTTGGTTGTATCTGGAAATGATAATGCATTGTCATAAGTAGTGAAAATTATTTGTACTATGGACTGATATATAACATACACACAAACACACAACACTGAACTACCGAACTGAGCTCCAGATTTCTCTACAGAGTTTACTTCCTTTGGTATATAGCTAGTAATTACGAGAGATCATAAAGCAAAAAACAAAGTTGGGGACCCAAAGGCAGTTTAAAAATGATTTCAAATTCAATTTGAGAACTCTTGCAACGACACAAACACACAACAATGAACTGCCGAACTGAGCTCCAGATTTCTCTACAGAGTTTACTCCCTTTGGTTTATAGCTAGTAATTACGAGAGATCATGAAGCAAAAAACAAAGTTGGCGACCCAAAGGCAGTTTAAAATTTGAGAACTCTTGCAACGACATTGGTGCAGATGACTTGGATTATATCAGTGATATGAAAAGGAGGGACCTGCTGCAATTTGTCTTCCCATAGTGGTCCCTCATAGCGAGTCTCCAGGCAAGTTTTCGACCCATCTCTAACTTCTCATGACAGGACTGTCAAACTGCCCAAGCAATGACATCCTAGCTCGTCCCACGGGCCTCCTCCATCTAGGATTATCTTGCAAGGAAACAACCTGATGGGCAGGGTCATTCACAGAGAAACAAGCTAGGTGTCCCTATGACCAAAGTAGGCAATCCTGGATTATGCAAGTAACAGGTTCCATGCTAGTCTCATGGTGTAGTCATCAACTGGACATATGCACCCCATGATCTGGCAAAGACAAGATTCCTAGGCACTAGATCGCTTTCATACAGATAAAGTGGCTGTATCAAGGCCTTGAAGACACAGCTTGGTCCCTCTGCATAGGTACCGACATCTCCAAATGCTCTTGTTGATCAAGTTCATGGCTCCTATTGCCAGACCAACCTGTCTACTGACTTCTTGACAGCACTTAGACTTAAATTATGCTACCAAACTATGTAAAGCTCTCTGTGACTTCAACATTCTCGCTGCACACATGTATCGACTGAATAGGTTCCCCCAAAATCCTATATCTTGGTTTTGGTTGAGGAGATGCCACCAATGATTCATCAGCAAGTTAAGGTCTGTGACCTGGATATTGCCAAGTTTTGCTCCATACTGACTTTGGATAGTTGCTCTGCCCATTATCCAGAATATGTGTGTTAAAAAGTGTGGTAAAAGACCACAGCCTTGCCCTACCCTCACAAGGGTGAGGCAAGGTCATCCATTGAGTGGACTGCAGTCATCTGCAAGGAGGGCTTAGAGTTCAATTTTCTCAGGGTTTGGTAGGCAGAGCGAAGATCACTGTTCCTTTTCCCTTCTCAACAGTGTCTGAGCCCTAAGGATTGGCATATGTTCTGATTGCTATTCAGATGAGCATGTGACATGGTTCTGTAGCCTCCAGTGTCTCCAGTGAAATAAAGTTCTGCCTTGTCCTTGGACATTTGCCAATGGACTCCTGCACTTCACGGAGTGGTTTGTGCTTGAAGGACTCTCACAGAGTTACAGGATCTGTCAGGTTCTGTGAGTTCTGTCAGAAATCAAAAATCCTCAATCTCTAGGACCTAGTAAAGTTCTTGGAGAAGGAGGCTGTTCTACTGCTGGGATCAGCTCCTGAGCCATGGGGACTCATAGACATCTCAAAGCCAGCTCGATCACAACCGGATACTGCATTGAAGTCACTCAGAATAATGCAAATGTCCCGCCGGGGACATTTGTCTGCCACAGATGTGAGTTTGGCATAGAATGACTATTTTCAATCGAGTTTACAAAAATCACTTCCCTCGATAGCAGAGGTAACCACTCATCTTGCCACAAGGATCGGATGTTCCAAGCTCCTACCCAGACAGCTCACTTGAGATTAAGCCCCAGGCTGTCACTCCAGGTGGACACCACCTCTGCCACCCCACAGGCAATACCTGCCTGTGGGGATCCCTTGGGCTTTGCCCCACAGGCCTCACATTGGTTTGGTGGCTGCCAGGGTGCAGGCTTTTCGAGTAACTCCCGTTACCATCCTCCACCCCAGCAGTTGCCCTCCCAACGGGGCCCACAGCTCACCTCACCTGCTGGGTAATAAGGTCAGTAACCCTCTTGTGTGTGTTTTTTTTTTTTTTTTTTTTTTTTTTTTTTTTTTTTTTTTTTTTTTTTTTTTTTTTTTTTTTTTTTTTTTTTTTTTTTTTTTTTTTTTTTTTTTTTTTTTTTTTTTTTTTTTTTTTTTTTTTTTTTTTTTTTTTTTTTTTTTTTTTTTTTTTTTTTTTTTTTTTTTTTTTTTTTTTTTTTTTTTTTTTTTTTTTTTTTTTTTTTTTTTTTTTTTTTTTTTTTTTTTTTTTTTTTTTTTTTTTTTTTTTTTTTTTTTTTTTTTTTTTTTTTTTTTTTTTTTTTTTTTTTTTTTTTTTTTTTTTTTTTTTTTTTTTTTTTTTTTTTTTTTTTTTTTTTTTTTTTTTTTTTTTTTTTTTTTTTTTTTTTTTTTTTTTTTTTTTTTTTTTTTTTTTTTTTTTTTTTTTTTTTTTTTTTTTTTTTTTTTTTTTTTTTTTTTTTTTTTTTTTTTTTTTTTTTTTTTTTTTTTTTTTTTTTTTTTTTTTTTTTTTTTTTTTTTTTTTTTTTTTTTTTTTTTTTTTTTTTTTTTTTTTTTTTTTTTTTTTTTTTTTTTTTTTTTTTTTTTTTTTTTTTTTTTTTTTTTTTTTTTTTTTTTTTTTTTTTTTTTTTTTTTTTTTTTTTTTTTTTTTTTTTTTTTTTTTTTTTTTTTTTTTTTTTTTTTTTTTTTTTTTTTTTTTTTTTTTTTTTTTTTTTTTTTTTTTTTTTTTTTTTTTTTTTTTTTTTTTTTTTTTTTTTTTTTTTTTTTTTTTTTTTTTTTTTTTTTTTTTTTTTTTTTTTTTTTTTTTTTTTTTTTTTTTTTTTTTTTTTTTTTTTTTTTTTTTTTTTTTTTTTTTTTTTTTTTTTTTTTTTTTTTTTTTTTTTTTTTTTTTTTTTTTTTTTTTTTTTTTTTTTTTTTTTTTTTTTTTTTTTTTTTTTTTTTTTTTTTTTTTTTTTTTTTTTTTTTTTTTTTTTTTTTTTTTTTTTTTTTTTTTTTTTTTTTTTTTTTTTTTTTTTTTTTTTTTTTTTTTTTTTTTTTTTTTTTTTTTTTTTTTTTTTTTTTTTTTTTTTTTTTTTTTTTTTTTTTTTTTTTTTTTTTTTTTTTTTTTTTTTTTTTTTTTTTTTTTTTTTTTTTTTTTTTTTTTTTTTTTTTTTTTTTTTTTTTTTTTTTTTTTTTTTTTTTTTTTTTTTTTTTTTTTTTTTTTTTTTTTTTTTTTTTTTTTTTTTTTTTTTTTTTTTTTTTTTTTTTTTTTTTTTTTTTTTTTTTTTTTTTTTTTTTTTTTTTTTTTTTTTTTTTTTTTTTTTTTTTTTTTTTTTTTTTTTTTTTTTTTTTTTTTTTTTTTTTTTTTTTTTTTTTTTTTTTTTTTTTTTTTTTTTTTTTTTTTTTTTTTTTTTTTTTTTTTTTTTTTTTTTTTTTTTTTTTTTTTTTTTTTTTTTTTTTTTTTTTTTTTTTTTTTTTTTTTTTTTTTTTTTTTTTTTTTTTTTTTTTTTTTTATGTTAAAAAGTGTGGTAAAAGACCACAGCCTTGCCTACCCTCACAAGGGTGAGGCAAGGTCATCCATTGAGTGGACTGCAGTCATCTGCAAGGAGGGCTTAGAGTTCAATTTTCTCAGGGTTTGGTAGGCAGAGCGAAGATCACTGTTCCTTTTCCCTTCTCAACAGTGTCTGAGCCCTAAGGATTGGCATATGTTCTGATTGCTATTCAGATGAGCATGTGACATGGTTCTGTAGCCTCCAGTGTCTCCAGTGAAATAAAGTTCTGCCTTGTCCTTGGACATTTGCCAATGGACTCCTGCACTTCACGGAGTGGTTTGTGCTTGAAGGACTCTCACAGAGTTACAGGATCTGTCAGGTTCTGTGAGTTCTGTCAGAAATCAAAAATCCTCAATCTCTAGGACCTAGTAAAGTTCTTGGAGAAGGAGGCTGTTCTACTGCTGGGATCAGCTCCTGAGCCATGGGGACTCATAGACATCTCAAAGCCAGCTCGATCACAACCGGATACTGCATTGAAGTCACTCAGAATAATGCAAATGTCCCGCCGGGGACATTTGTCTGCCACAGATGTGAGTTTGGCATAGAATGACTATTTTCAATCGAGTTTACAAAAATCACTTCCCTCGATAGCAGAGGTAACCACTCATCTTGCCACAAGGATCGGATGTTCCAAGCTCCTACCCAGACAGCTCACTTGAGATTAAGCCCCAGGCTGTCACTCCAGGTGGACACCACCTCTGCCACCCCACAGGCAATACCTGCCTGTGGGGATCCCTTGGGCTTTGCCCCACAGGCCTCACATTGGTTTGGTGGCTGCCAGGGTGCAGGCTTTTCGAGTAACTCCCGTTACCATCCTCCACCCCAGCAGTTGCCCTCCCAACGGGGCCCACAGCTCACCTCACCTGCTGGGTAATAAGGTCAGTAACCCTCTTGTGTGTGTTTATAAATTTGTGAAATTTATGTGTATGTATATAGATACACACATATATATGCATATATACATATATATACATATTTATATGTTTGTGTGTATATATACGTATATGCATATATATATGTACATATATAAATATATATACATATATTTATATATATATATATATATATATATATATATATATATGTGTGTGTGTGTGTGTGTGTGTGTGTACGTATGTATGTGTTTATAAATTTATGAACTTTATGTGTGTGTGTGTAGGTATACACATATATGTATGTATGTATATGAATATATTTATTCATTTATATATGTGTGTGTGTTTGTGTTTGCATATATATATACATACATATGTATATATATATATATATATATATATATATACATATATATGTATACATATATGTATATATATACATATACATAGATATATATATATATACATACATATATATATATATATATATATATATATATATATATATATATATATATATATATATGTATACATAGGTATATATATGTGTATGCATGTATATTAGGCTCATGTGATATCACATGAAAAAGTTAGAATGACGAATTCAACCGAAAAAGGAATAGTTACTATGATTATTGTGTAATTTTGCCAGCACAAGTAACAAGTCTTCGCGGTACCGGAATTTTTTATATCTACTTTAGGTACTAGCAACGTTAAGATTTAAAACCCAAACATCAGAAATTACACATACATACGCACACACATTCGCATGCACACGCACACATGCACACAAATACAAACGTGGGACACACACACACAGAAGTGTATTTGAAACAAATATATGTATACAGTATACACAGATATATAAATGTTCACTTAAAATATTCACAACCTTTGAATTCGTCGCCAATGTTGACATCCACTGGTTCCACCTTGCGGGCCTGATAGAGAGGTAAACATAAATGGTATAGCTTGAGAAAACGATATATGTTTATATCTATTGAGAGAGAGAGAAGAAAGAGAGAGAGAGAAGAGAAAAGGGTGTGTGCAAAGCTGTTAGCGAATAAGGAGGCAAAAC